CTCATCTCTATGTATAAGCTATGTATTCTCCATTTCTTTTGCCTTAGTGAAATATTTGATTGATTCCCTCCCGTGGACGTAGATCCAGTTGGATCGAACCACGTAAACGATCTGTGTTTGCTTGTGTTCTTTTTCGTCTCATTTCTATGTCAGGAAGTACATATCTCACAACAATCCATTTTTAAAATTCACATCAAAAGTAAAATACACATTTTTATGACACCAAAGTGATAAAACTTACTAGTGCAAATATCAAACTTTGGGGGGTTATTTATGTAAATACATAAGAATTGCGTGGTATATATGTAAATTTCCCAAAAATCAATCTTCAATCCCATTCAAAACTCCTCAACAGCAACAGTTTCATCTGCAGATACAAATTGAGTGAAAATAAAATTTTCATTTTTTTTAAAACATATTTTCTATCTGTTCTCATGCTATTTAAAAAATAAATAAATAAATTGTTTTGCAGTCGTGAAGCCTGGTAAAGATCATGCTGGTGCAACCTTAGAGATTCCTTCTGAAGAGATTCTCTCCTAGCAATTCAGAGGAAGTTAAAACCTGTAGTAGGCTCCCCAGGTTTCAGATTTACATACGTACCCATATTTCTTATGTATTTGCATAATCTAACATTTATACTTCATTTTTTTACATATTTGCCTCCTTACCCATGCATGGAAAGGTGCATTTCACTTTTTAAAGGTTAAAACAGTGATATTTTTTGGTCTTATAAATGTAAAAAATAAAGTTTAGGTGTTACATATGTAAATCTATAGGAATTGGGTGGTATGTATGTAAATTCCCTTTCTTTTCAGTAAAAACAGAAAATGACAAGCAAAAAAAAAGGGGCATTTGCATTCATACCACCCAATTTCTATGTATTTACATGTATAACAATTAAACTTAATTTTTTACATATATACCATCTGAATCTTTCATATTAAATTAAAAATATCATCGTTTTAACTTTACTTGCACTCCTGCTTGATCCAGTCTTTCGAACTTTTGCTATCGAAAGAACATTTTAAATTTGTATTTTCTTTTAAAAGAACTGTTAAATTAGTAAATAAACTGCATTATGTGAAACAGCATTATGTGTAGGGCTGTGAACAAGCCGAGCTTGAGCGAGCTCAGGCTTGCTCGTGTTCGGCTCGTTCGAAACTGCTCGTGTTCGAAATTGGCTCGTGAACAGTGTTTGTGTTCAGCTCGATTTAAATATTTATGTTCGTGTTCGACTCGAAATTTACTCGTAAAAATTAAATTGAAAATAATAGATGTAAAGTGTTAGATTCGAACATCGACCAAATGTATGCAAAAGAAGACACTAACCACATTACCACGCAAGGTATTACTATCTAAACTTATATATAAATATATATAATATATTATTGTATAAATAAATATATTATATAATAAATTTTTTATTTCGAGTTAAAACTGAGTCTAACACTAGCGAACAAACAAAGAGTTGTTCGTGTTCGATTCGTTTATAATTCGAGCTTGAAAAAAACTATGAAATTAGTCTCTATTTTTTAAAAAAATCATTTGCAATAAACACTTTTGAGTGGTGTAACTGAGTCAAGATATGCAATGTAGGTCACAACTCACTCATTAAATAAGCATACAAATTAGCTTCATTTACGGGTGTAACTGAGTCGAGCCAACTCGGCTCAAACTTAAACTCGATAAATGTTTTGCATGCTAAGCTCAAAAGAGCTGAGAAGCCATACTCAAGCCTGACCTACTCATAAATAGTGCACCAATTTGTTTAAATATATTTTAAAATAATATACATTTAAAATTTATTAAAATTTCTGACTATTTAAAATATTTTTTAAAAATTATATTTAATAATTCATATTAAATAATTCTTATTATTGCTCATTAAATATATAATATGTTGCTAGACAACCCCTTAAAATCAACATTTATGGATCTCACTCTAAAAACTTTATATTTATCAATATAACACAAATTTTGTTAAAATAATAAAATTAACTCTTCTTCAGTCTCATTTAATTTTTTATTCTTCCACCTCGTGGTTCATCATGGAGCTCAGCGAGTTCATCTAACTCGCATGTTGCTAGGGCTATCAAAAAAGATTCATGTTCGCAAACAATTAGAATTTGGCTCGTTAAATAGCTTGTGTTTGAATCGTTCTCTAAGCGTGCGAGTCGAATATAAATAATTTTTTTAAGTTCGAATTAAAAATAAGTTGAACACAAACAATCTTGAACTTGTTTGGCTCGTTTTAGCTCGAAATGTGAAAATTATACATATACATATTATTTATATAATAATATAATAAATATATATATGTTTAAGTTTATTAAATCACATCTTATGTGATTATGTGATTCTGAGCCTTTTATTGCATAGAAATGATTCAGGTTCAAACCCAACAGCTCACATCTATTTTTTTCAATTAATTTAAAAGATCCAATTTAAGGCACAAAACGGTCAAACACGAATAAGAATATGTAAATCAAGCAGAGCAAATATACAATATACACGTGAAATTTTGAAGGAGCCGAACACAAGCTAAGCCCAGCTCGCTCGAGCTCAACCTGTTTACAGTCCTACTTGTTGCTTCAACCCTCAGCTCTCTATGTGGCTCTCCCTCCCTCTCTGTCTCCACCTTCTCCTCTCAATCTTCAAGCAAAGGAAGCTATTTAAATACATGCAACCTTACTTACCCATGCGTAAAAGTTCTATTTTGTTTTTTTATTGAATTAAAATGATAGCATTTTTTTATATGATATGAAAGATAAGTTGGTATAAATGTAAAGAATATAGGTGCTAAATATGCAAATACATTGGAATTGAGATGCGTCTACGTAAATAACAAATTCAATTGCCAGAAAAGAACCACACAAAATAGGAGGATGAAGGAATAGGCTGAGACTGACAAGAGGGGTGGCAGAGTTACTGAATTACAGAGTTTTGTTGTATTAACTAAATTTTATAAATATAGAGTTTTTAGTGTGAAATATGTAAATATTGGTGTTCAAAGTGTTAAATTTATATAAATATGTAATATAAATTAATATTATTTGTTTCTCTTTTATAATAAATAAGCTGGCTCAGGGACCAACTAGAGTTAGCACATTAAGCTCAAGCTTAATTTTGAAATCCATTAATTAATCAATCTCAAGCTTAGGTGGAAGATAGCTCGAGCTTAACTCAACTCGTTCACGTGCCTAACCATTACAACAACAACAACAACAAAACCTTTATATCCCACTAAGTAGCATTGGCTACATGAATCCCTTTTTCTTCATTGCGTCCTATTTAGTGTTGTATTTTAATTTAATTCTAATAAATTAAGATCATTTTTAATACAATATGCCCAAGTCTTCCTAGGTCTACCGCTACCTTTCTTAACACAAGTCAAATCTAAAACATCTACTATTCTAATCGGATCATCAGGTGGTCGACGTTTAATGTGACCAAACCATCTAAGACGACTCTCTCTAATTTTGTGCATCGCTGGAGCTACACCAACCCTATCACGGATATATTCATTTCGCATTTTGTCTCCAACTGGAAGGCCACTCATCCACCTAATCATTCTCATCTCCGCAACACTTAGCTCAAACAACAAAAAATGAAAATATTCATTTCATGATTTAGCATGGGCTAAAATGCAAGTTTTTGCACACTAAAAACCAACCATAAAATAGCTCAAAACAAGAATTCAAAAATAATAAGAAGAAGAAAAAACAAAAATCTAAAAAAGATTTAAATTAGGGCCAACATTCATTCATTCAAGGAAATAATTATAAGTAAATTACCTCTTCCTCTTCTTATTTCCCCTAAAATCATCACCTTTGTTAAAGCCACTCAGATCATCAGTAGTCTCTGCAGTATTCTGCTTCTTCAGACCCTTCCGACCTCCATGGCCAAACTTGCTCTCCCTGAAACTCCTCCTGTTCTTCTTCTCCTTCCCCTTGAAACCACCAGACCTATCTCCGGGAGACACTCCGGGCCTCTTCTTATTCGATCTCTGAAAACTACTTCCTCCATCTCCAAAAAACCCATCACCTACAACCCCGCCGCTTGCAAAGCCGCTCTTTTGTCTCTGTTTTCGCCATTTTTTCACGGATTCGATCTCTTCCTTCTTCCTTTTTACCCTTTCCTTCACCTTTTGGGCTTGAACCTCCTTCGCCATCTTCTTCGCCTCCCTTGCTTTCTTCCTCTCCTCGGCCTCCTCTATCTTCTTCTTCTCTGTAAGAAGCCTGCTCTTGATCTTCAGCATATGGTTATCGGACTTCACCATCTCGGCGTAGAAATCCGGAGGCCTGAGGAACGGGACGCCTGTCGATTGAATTTTTTCAAAGGCTTTTCGGGCGCCATGAAGAGCCTGGTTATAGAAAGCGAGCTCCCGGGTTAGATCGTCGTTCACGTCGATCTCTTCTGGCTGATCATAAGTGATGGTGAGTGTGTGGATCCAATCAAGATCCTTAGGCCAGGCAATGTCTTCAAGCTTTTCCAAGAGGCCTTCCCTGTTGTGCACAGCATTCTTTGCAGGTTCAGACAAAAGCTTCTCCTCATATCCTGACTCAGAATTTGTTTCCTCGTCACTGATATCATCACCTTCCTTCATGGTTTCCTCGTTTGAATTCAAACTGCATAAAACATGATAACTAGAATATCAGAAAAAAAAAAAAAGGCAAAAGTATTTTTCTCAGTTGAAGAAAAGAATCAGGAAAACTGATAAACCCTAACATTGAGGAGCTTTCTCGTAACGAATTCAGATCAGAATTTAACCAGATTTTGGCCTAAATCCTGCATGACGGTCAGTCTGGACACAGTTTTGATTTAAATAAACTAAATCCGGGAGGAGCCATTAGCGCGAAAAGGAAGATATGAAGTTACCTTCCTCGATCTGCCTCCATGGTTTCGGGTATTAGCAGTACGGAAGGAGAAGGAAGATGGGGAGTTTCGAGTCTCTGTGCGCAGCGATCCGGCGGTTGGCTTCGCAGTTAGCTCTAATGGCGACTGTATCGCGAGGGCGGAGCGGGAGGCTAGGGTTTAGGGGGTAAGGGGGAGGTAGGATTGTTGTTATAATATGTAATTATTATATTAAAATTATATATTTTTAAATTTAAATTATTTAATATTTTATTAATTTAAAAAACATATTCTTAATTAATATAATCAATAATTAGTTTAAGAATTTTCTTAAATAACTAATTAATTAGTATAATGTAAAATACAATTAAAATTAAATTAAATACTTAATCTTTATCATATTAATTTACATACATGCCATCCAAATTCTTTATGTATTACATATCTTACACCCAAACTTTATTTCTTTATATTCATATAAAAATATCACTATGTTAACTTAAACTAGTCAAGGCTTTTAAGTCATCATCATTACACGCATAGCCCACAATTCTTATGTATTTTCATATCTAGCAATTAAACTATCCTATTTGCATAAATATCACTTTGGTGCTTCAAACCCCTGCATGAAAATTTTCTTCTTCATATATATAAAAAAGGTGCTGCAAAAAAAGCTATTTCTGCCCCCAATTATTTTTTAAAAAATCAATTACATAAAAGAGTATTACGCCCGTCGCCCGGGTCCTCATTTGTGTCACGACTATCACCCAAACGCTACGCAGCTCAACGTCCGGGCGACAGACAGACGTAGTAATAATTTTTAAAAAGAAACATAATAATCAATTTTAATTTCCTGAGAATATAAAAATTAGGTGTATTAATTTATACCTCTCAATTAAGCCATATTGACCGGTTCGACCATTTAAACCTTGAACCAATCATTCGATCAATTCAATTCAAACTCAATCATTTTTTTTCTTTTTTTGCATAAAATTAAGATTGAACAAATCTTTTTTTTTTATTGACCTAAAAGATTAATTTTGATTGAATGTACTCAAAATATTATCTTAAATTAAAATATTATTTATTGAATGAATAAAAATAATATTAATTTATTATTATTCTATTTAAATTATATTAAAAAAATAATTTAAATATTTATTACATCAACAAGTTCAACTTTTCTAATATTTTCAGCAACTAAGCTAAAAAAATATAAATTAGGGAAAAAAATAAAATTAGACAAACCATTAATTTGAAATAAAGCCATTTACTGAGTATTTTCAATTTTAACTTAAAAAAAAATCAAATACATAAAAATTAAAACATAAGAGCTACATATTGAAAAAACAAAGGAACTAAGTATTATGCATGTAAATTGGGGCATTTACATTACATACCCATACAATTCTTATGTATTCACATATCTAACACGTAAACTTCAATAATTACATTCATAGCGCACTAAATTTTTTTTTTCTTTTTTATGAAGGTTCATAGCACCAAGGTCTTATAAATGTAAATATCAAATTTAGGTGTTTGATATGCAAATTCATAAGAATTGTAGGGGTAATTATGCAAATTTCCCAAAAAAGGTAAACACTATTGCCTGCACATGATCAAATGAAGTGCAGCCTCTCCAATGAGAATATGTATTGCACTCATTGAAAACAAATGTTGACAATTTTATCCAATAATAAGAACATACAATGAGCATAGAGCAGAAAAGAAACATGAATTCCCCACTATTATATGTTATAGTGAGATATCAAAACAGGCATCACAAGAACATATTGGAACTTTTAAAAACTCAAAAAGAAAATTAAAAATAGCATCTTGCCTGCAAATATAATGAGAATGAAGTGAGGCATCTCCAATGTAGCAGCAGAGAACCAAAGCATGAGCTTCTGCAAAAGGATTTCCGCTTCATTTGAATCCTTGAATCTGTTGGCTCTGGATATTCTCCATTAATCTCAATACATTCCAAGCACTGGGCAGGGAAACATAAGAAGGCCATACATCTATCTAACCCAATCTCATCCAGCTTTCAATCTAAGAATTTCCAAGGCTGTCCTCTTTCTGAAATAAGCCATGTGCTCCTGCAAAGATTCATGCATATATGGTTTTTGAGTAAATGAAAACCATGCAATTCTTATCTATTTACATATCTAACACCCAAACTTTAATTTTTTACATGAATACCATCATACCGAGTAAGAAAATGTGTATTTCAGTTTTTAGAAGTTGGAATGGTGGTATTTATTATGTGATATGAACTATTTGGGTGGTATAAATGTATAAAAACAAGTTTCGGATGTTAGATATTTAAATACACGAGCATTGGGTGGTATTTATGTAAATGCCCCAATTTAATATTTATATTTGTAACACTTCCGCGTTATAAATCCATGCATGAAAACATGTATGTCACCTAAAAAAAAGGGCAATAGTAATGGTGTTCAAATAGTAATGGTACTTTTAAAGTGATGTTAAGTTTTGACTGTCGTGCACATAAATATAAAAATTTAAGTGTTAGATATATAAATGAATAAGAATTAAGTGGTATGTATGTAAATACACCTTAAGAAAATAGAAAATTTTATGAAGCCAATAAGCACATAAAGTACACTCTCTATGTATACACTTTCATTATGCTAAAAAAGGAGGCTAGGGTTTAGGGGGTAAGGGGGAGGTAGGATTGTTGTTATAATATGTAATTATTATATTAAAATTATATATTTTTAAATTTAAATTATTTAATATTTTATTAATTTAAAAAACATATTCTTAATTAATATAATCAATAATTAGTTTAAGAATTTTCTTAAATAACTAATTAATTAGTATAATGTAAAATACAATTAAAATTAAATTAAATACTTAATCTTTATCATATTAATTTACATACATGCCATCCAAATTCTTTATGTATTACATATCTTACACCCAAACTTTATTTCTTTATATTCATATAAAAATATCACTATGTTAACTTAAACTAGTCAAGGCTTTTAAGTCATCATCATTACACGCATAGCCCACAATTCTTATGTATTTTCATATCTAGCAATTAAACTATCCTATTTGCATAAATATCACTTTGGTGCTTCAAACCCCTGCATGAAAATTTTCTTCTTCATATATATAAAAAAGGTGCTGCAAAAAAAGCTATTTCTGCCCCCAATTATTTTTTAAAAAATCAATTACATAAAAGAGTATTACGCCCGTCGCCCGGGTCCTCATTTGTGTCACGACTATCACCCAAACGCTACGCAGCTCAACGTCCGGGCGACAGACAGACGTAGTAATAATTTTTAAAAAGAAACATAATAATCAATTTTAATTTCCTGAGAATATAAAAATTAGGTGTATTAATTTATACCTCTCAATTAAGCCATATTGACCGGTTCGACCATTTAAACCTTGAACCAATCATTCGATCAATTCAATTCAAACTCAATCATTTTTTTTCTTTTTTTGCATAAAATTAAGATTGAACAAATCTTTTTTTTTTATTGACCTAAAAGATTAATTTTGATTGAATGTACTCAAAATATTATCTTAAATTAAAATATTATTTATTGAATGAATAAAAATAATATTAATTTATTATTATTCTATTTAAATTATATTAAAAAAATAATTTAAATATTTATTACATCAACAAGTTCAACTTTTCTAATATTTTCAGCAACTAAGCTAAAAAAATATAAATTAGGGAAAAAAATAAAATTAGACAAACCATTAATTTGAAATAAAGCCATTTACTGAGTATTTTCAATTTTAACTTAAAAAAAAATCAAATACATAAAAATTAAAACATAAGAGCTACATATTGAAAAAACAAAGGAACTAAGTATTATGCATGTAAATTGGGGCATTTACATTACATACCCATACAATTCTTATGTATTCACATATCTAACACGTAAACTTCAATAATTACATTCATAGCGCACTAAATTTTTTTTTTCTTTTTTATGAAGGTTCATAGCACCAAGGTCTTATAAATGTAAATATCAAATTTAGGTGTTTGATATGCAAATTCATAAGAATTGTAGGGGTAATTATGCAAATTTCCCAAAAAAGGTAAACACTATTGCCTGCACATGATCAAATGAAGTGCAGCCTCTCCAATGAGAATATGTATTGCACTCATTGAAAACAAATGTTGACAATTTTATCCAATAATAAGAACATACAATGAGCATAGAGCAGAAAAGAAACATGAATTCCCCACTATTATATGTTATAGTGAGATATCAAAACAGGCATCACAAGAACATATTGGAACTTTTAAAAACTCAAAAAGAAAATTAAAAATAGCATCTTGCCTGCAAATATAATGAGAATGAAGTGAGGCATCTCCAATGTAGCAGCAGAGAACCAAAGCATGAGCTTCTGCAAAAGGATTTCCGCTTCATTTGAATCCTTGAATCTGTTGGCTCTGGATATTCTCCATTAATCTCAATACATTCCAAGCACTGGGCAGGGAAACATAAGAAGGCCATACATCTATCTAACCCAATCTCATCCAGCTTTCAATCTAAGAATTTCCAAGGCTGTCCTCTTTCTGAAATAAGCCATGTGCTCCTGCAAAGATTCATGCATATATGGTTTTTGAGTAAATGAAAACCATGCAATTCTTATCTATTTACATATCTAACACCCAAACTTTAATTTTTTACATGAATACCATCATACCGAGTAAGAAAATGTGTATTTCAGTTTTTAGAAGTTGGAATGGTGGTATTTATTATGTGATATGAACTATTTGGGTGGTATAAATGTATAAAAACAAGTTTCGGATGTTAGATATTTAAATACACGAGCATTGGGTGGTATTTATGTAAATGCCCCAATTTAATATTTATATTTGTAACACTTCCGCGTTATAAATCCATGCATGAAAACATGTATGTCACCTAAAAAAAAGGGCAATAGTAATGGTGTTCAAATAGTAATGGTACTTTTAAAGTGATGTTAAGTTTTGACTGTCGTGCACATAAATATAAAAATTTAAGTGTTAGATATATAAATGAATAAGAATTAAGTGGTATGTATGTAAATACACCTTAAGAAAATAGAAAATTTTATGAAGCCAATAAGCACATAAAGTACACTCTCTATGTATACACTTTCATTATGCTAAAAAATTTACAAATTACATATTGTGTACAACGCGGCATAGAAAATGTACAGTGAGATGATTAAAAAAAAATTAGTGCACAATTAGAATAAAAAAAGAAAAACTTACACACATACCACACAATTCTTATGCATTTACATATCTCACATTTAAAGTCGGGTATTTAGATTTATAACACTTTGGTATTAAATGCCTATGAAAATGCGTAACTAGAGAGAGAGAGAAAGAGAGGGAAAGGTAACTTATCGTGATCAATTATGTCTTATTCATAAAATAATTCTCTTATTTATAGAGGAGATAGTACATATGATGATATTATATCGTTGCCCCTGTTTTAAAGAGGTGCGTACTAGATATTTCTGGCATTTAACATGCATAAGTCTATTGTTCGTCTACTTTCTAACTTGGTCAGTTGACCTTAGTAAGTTTTGGGTCTGCGGGATCAGCTCGGTCGGCTAAAGCTTGGTTAGTATGAGTGGGCAGGCAGATATTAGTCTGAGTGTCAATCCTTAGTCCCACATGAGGGTGGCTATTGGAATGGGTCGTCTTTCTAGTAATGGCTCACTCGGATGTTCTTCCATCTCTTGTCTGCCTGAATGACTCGGGCTTGAGTTATCCAGTCGTCTTTTTGTCTGCGATGTGGCTCAATCAGCTTTAGTCTTGCTGACTTGACTTGAACAACATCACTTGGTCGGAAAAAGTGAGCTTCAGGATCTAGCAGTTGGCCCACCTTCGTTGTACTCTTCCCTTTTGAATCATTAAACCTTCTTAGAATCAACGTTGTCATAATTTTGATGTATATATTTCGTTCACCTTGAAAGCAACATTGCGATAATAATAAGAGAATCTATTGCAATAGCAGATCACCTTTATTATTAATTAATGATTCTATGGTTGAACTCCATTAATTTCCGTGCTTTTTATTTTTATAAATAAGACATAATGGGACTCCTCATTCCTTATTTGTTCCAAGACTAATCTAGTTTGAATCGATCGGCTTTCAGGTGTTGTGATGGAGAACATATCAAACCCCTTGGGTGATATCTCCAACAAAGCCCATTTTGCTTTCAAAAAACTAAAAGGGCATCACCTCCTGAGAGGTGAAAGAAAGAAGAAAGTCGTCGTTAAGAAGAGAAAATTGCTTGCACTTTCACTATCGGATCAGGTGGGATCTCATGATTTGTTCCTCGGCAATAAGCAAAGGAATGTTTAGTTGACCAACCTGACCATCGATTCGATAACCCAACCATCAATCCAACTGCTTAGCCTTCTGTTGCAACGCAAGACCAGTTGATTGAATAGGTCATGCAAGAGGCTTCTAATGCACACCCGTCACGCGGTCAGGGTGTTTTGTGGATTACAGTGTCCGAGTTGGATCGATTCTCGAGTCTGAGGAGCCTTAGTCATATTTGGTGATTTTTTTTTTCTTTTTAAAATCCTTTTGCTTCACATTGTTTATGGGTGCATATGACTCGACTTTGAGAGGTTTGACTGAGGATCTAGCCCTAGTTGGCATTGGCGAGAATAAGATTGAGTTATCAACGATAACAAAACAGGCACCAGGAGAGAGCAGATGACACTCAAGTGAGGATGGTGGAGTTGATCGCCCTAACATTCCCCTTAAAGAGCGTAAGAAAGCAGTTGAACTGCTTAGGACGTCCCCAGGGTTGTTTGCCTGTCACCTGGACGAAATCAAGAATTTCTTCACTTGGTTGGCAGGGATCAAGCAGGGCGAAGATTTGAGCGGCTTGGCGACTCGAATGAAGAAGGTGGATAAGACGGACGAGGTGGCAATTCTTAGTCGGGGGTTGTCAAACGACCAGGAGAGATCCTTGATGATTTAGGCCCAAGTTGAGTTAGAGCGATTGGGTCATTTTAGGACTCGGGGAGAATTTCTTATAAGAGGTTGCTTTAGCTAGAATAAACTCAACTGAAGCGGCGATCGACCACCAAGTAAATTGTTTCCTCTCGAACTACTATATGAGTGCTCTTTGTAATTTAAAATATATTTTTTTTGGAATAAACTTAATTTTCCCTGCTTCGTTTATTGTGTTGAAGTGGTCTTATTATCTAACAATTACAAAAACGGTTATCTAATTTTGATTTTACCCCTACACGGTGGTTCAAATTCCTTCGTTCCCCTATATATATGAAGAGCGTAGGGTTGGCTATGTTACACTTACTCTGTCTTTTTTTTCTTTATCATTTTAAAGGTCCTTTGTCTGCACTCTACTCGATGGCTCTATTATATTCTCTGAAAAACTCCAAGTCAGCCGTACTAAAAGACTGATCGTGGATGGCTCAAGGAGAGGTTGATCGGCTATAGGAGGCTTGCATCTTTATTAATCCCAAGATCAAGTTTTGGGTCACTGGTGAAACCGACTGTGCTACCTGTTTGTGTGATGCCGACCACCCCTTTTATAAAGATCAGGTTTATTTTAGCCTCCAACTACCTTTTTTGTCGAGAGTTACACTCCATCTTTGCCCGCTATGGCATCATACCCAGCGCAGATTATGCTCAACTCCATAGTAGCCACTATGATCTTTGCCATATTCTGCCGCCCGAAAAAAATTGAGTAGGGGACGACAAAAAATGGAGTTTTAGGTGGTTGGCAATTCGATCACTATTAAGTTTGCCATGTTAGTGAAATGCTTGTCTTTTCCACCCAAATCATCGATTAAACAATGGTTCCTAGTGTCTCCTTCCTCTCGCAAAAAAAAAAATCACACAGTGGCCTTGATGCGGCAGTCAATCGTTCAGCTCTGAGGGCCACCTTTTTTAACATTGACTTGAAAAGGAAATTCACAAAGATGCCAGTGTCGATGATGATGCTGCCAATTTTGATGGTTGGCAATTAGCGCGATGATGGCGTCGTTGTAAGGGTTGCTCTTAGGGGGTAGATCTTCGTTGTTGAAAATTATGGGAGGACGCGAGTTGCAATTGAGCGCGAGGGTGGCTACGCATAATTCTCCCGACTGAAACCCTTTAGATTGGCTCGATGGAATGATTCTCCATCACCCCCAAATATGGTTGGGACGACGCCAACGATACAAATCTCATGGACTCAAACTGGTTTGTTTGATATCTCCTCAACTGCAGCCCTCATTTGTAGTTGGATCATTGCTCTGAATGCTACAAATTCCTTCGATTTTTTGCCTTGGAGTTGTCGACACTACTCTATCACGTATGGTCCCGGAGGTATGCACAGTACTTCTTTAAATCTTGAAGGTAAGCTCTAATCTTCTATCTTAAAGCTATCTTTGTTTGTATGGTATCTACTATCTCGACCATTGAAACTCTCAGCAGAGTTTGTTTGGGCGCTTCGTGGTTAAGCAGTGTGCTTGTCATACTGAGTCGATTGTTGGTCATAATACCGGGTCAGGTTCCCTTGGTTATGTGTTAGGTCGATTGCCATGTGATCTCGAGGTGGCAGCATGTCTTCGTACAGAGAACGAATGGTTGGTTGCAAATCATGTATCGATCTTCACCCATCGCCATAAGCGACCCTTTTTGTGGGGGAAGGGTGAAAGATTCTACTATGGAAGAGCAAGGTTGGAATTATGGTCATAAGTCGATATGTGTAGCCTAACGCAAAAAGCTTGACTGGCGTCTTCGATAGTTGCAGCCTAATGTATATCGAAATGGTCCTTTCTTCATCTCCTGAGCTAGGCCAACATTAGAGATTGCAGGCTCTAATTCCCGCACTTCCAACATTTCCTTCTGAAAGTGAGTGATAAACAAGTGCAATCTCTCGCTTTGTCTCTATCAGAGTTGTAGAATAGCATGTGAGTTCTTCTTAAATATCAGCTTGAAGTCGAAGAACGACGTGATTGCTCTTGTCGATGATCCGTGATCCACCTGAGGGTTGACTCCCTCGACGTGGTGAATAAAATACGGCACATCAAAGCGTCGGCAATCCTTAGCAAACACAGGGCAGACTCGAACGAGGCTATGTAGCGACTGAATTGTTCTGCCCCTTGTAGTACTTTGTTGATGGGATCTTGAATTGTTTTGGGGGCTCGGCCTTAAAGAATTGTCGTAAGAACACGTTCTTGGGCTATCAAGGCAACTCAATATGCCTGAATCGATGTCGATCGATGAATGCAGACCCAACACTACCGAAGTACTGGGAGTCATCTTCCCCTTCCAAGGTCGAAGGGATCTTTTGTCAATAAACGCCAGCCCTTCGACTTGGGTTGATGTTCCCTTCCCCGGTTCAACACACCCGGATGACATCCAACATATGATCATTCAACTTCTGAATATGTTAGGTTATAACTTTTCTAGTGCACTCCATATTGTTAGTGTCTTTGTTATGAGTTTTTTTTTTTTTTTCTTAGGGCTACTCTTCTTATTCGTTGCATGATGCACGTTTATCTTACATTTTAGGATGTTGTATCTTAATTTAATTGTGAATCACACCCAAAGAATAAAGCATAAAAAGAAATAAAGAGAGAATGAAACATATTATGTTGTGATCAATCATCCGGCTACTTTCTGGCTTGGCCGACAAACCTTAGTCAACTTTGGGTCGTGATATGTATCAAATATGCTTGTTATTTTTATGATATTTTATCTTTATTTATGCATTTTTATGTTTTTCATGATATTTGTGATTGTATATGCAGTGTAAAAGTGATTAAGCAACTTAGAGAGCAAAGAAGATGAAACATATTCAAAACTAGCTGAATCAGGCTGAGTTGGAGAAGAGGCACTGGGAAGCTAGTTCTAGGCGCCCAGGCTCCCAAAGATGCGGAAGTACAATTTGACAACTCGAATAATGTCGTGTTGCAAAGGGAATGACAAATATGCATCGACTGAACCATTTAGGGATATCCAGTCATTGTATAATGTTCTAAAACTTGGAGGAGAGTGGATTGAAGACCAACAATAGGGAGAAAGAGAATGCTCGGAAGCAATCAGAGCATTTCAAAGGAAGAATCCTGAGGAGTGTTGTGAGTGAGCGAGTGTTCTCCCGAGTAAGAACAAATGTGAATGTGAGTGTCAATTTTTGTACTAAAAAGGCGTAAAACTCAAGAATTTTCTTGTAATTTCAACTTTGATTTTGTAATGAAATTTATAATGCGTTCATTCGTAATGTGTATGACTTAAACTTCTCTCCCTTGAATTGGATTATATACAATTGGTGAAGCTTTGTTACGTGATTGGTGTTATTTATTTACAAGTTGATAATTTAATCTTCTACTTGTAAATTCATACTAAACTGGTCACTTAGGTTGTTAAAATAGGTTGTGATCTAGTACTTCGGGAGTAGGTTAGAGGAACAATTAGGTTAAGATACACTATTCTGAGAGAATAGGAATATTATTATTAGAGCGGTGCAATCGTGTAGGAAATTTTGCAAATACAAGGGTTTTTTGCATGATTAGGCGACTAATTGAAATATGAAACCCCAATTTTTCTTATGATCACCGAAAGAGGCTAAGGAAAACTATTATTTCTAATTGTCAACATCATTGGAGTTACATGGATAGAGCTAAATTACTAGTTCCAATTCAAGAGAGGTACTTTCACTTGGAGAAAACCCTAAAACTTAGTAGGTTTTAAGTATTTGCAAAAATTAGAATTTAGTAACTTTAAAATTCAAACACTTCGAGCCTGTTTGGGATCACTTTTTGTTTGGGGGTTGCCGAGCGCGAGGGAGTTGGCGACGGTCTAGTAGAAGGGTTGTTTTGGCATTTTAAAAACAGGAGAAAACAATTTTTTTTTAATTTTTAGTATTTTAAAAGCGGAAATGTTATCAAAAAAAAAAAAAAAAAAGTAAAACAAAAATTAAATAAACAAACATTGTTTCTATTGTTTGTTTTCATTTTTTTTTTCAAAAACAAAAAACAAAAAACAAAAATTGATCTCAAACAACCCCTTCATGTTAGACTTAAAACAAGCAATCTAATTTTTCTAGATTTGAAATGTTAACTCATTATTTGTGAGATAAATATGCAGAATTGTTATTCGTATATTACTTGATCGATATATATACTTGTGTTATTGTCGGTGCTTCATAGCATTTTGTGAGTATCAAGATCGGCAGTATCAACTCAGTCGACAGAGCTTGTTCGGTATGGGTAAGTCGGTTGATACAACCTAGTTGTCAATCCTTAGTCCCGGATAAGGAGCTTTTGGATCGTCCCTCTGATGGTTGGAGATACTTCAGCATACTGTGAAATCAGATTTTCCTTTGGATCAGTTCTCCAGGAGGGCTGGCTATTTTGCAGTAGTGGCTAGCTCGGATGTTCTTCCATCTAGTGTCTATCTGAATAGCTCGGGCTTAGGTTGTTTGATTGTCTTTTTGCCCGCCTCGTGGCTCGATCAGCTTTGGCCTTACTAGCTTGACTCAGCATCACTTGGTCGGACAAATAGACTTCACGATCTAGTAGTGGGTCCACCTTCTTTGCACTCTTCCCTTCTGGATCGTTAAATCTCCTCAGTATTAGTGCTAGGATAGTTTTGATGTACAGCGATAGAGATATTTTTTTATGTGTTGTTGAAAAATTTGAGTGTTAAGTATGTACATATGAAAGTCAAGGTTTTAGATATTTAAATATATAAGAATTAAATGGTATGTATCTAAATGCTCCCCAAAGGAAGATTAAGATAATATGGATAGAAATTATTCAATTGAATTGTTAAAATAGATTTAAAATCTCAAGCAACATTCCACAAACAACAGTTCACGGAAACTAATAACAATTATGTCACCTGACTGAAGCACAACTTCAAACCTCTGCTGTAGAAATCTGCATATTTGAGCATAAACATCCCACAATCCCACCTGTTAAAAAATTTGGGAGTGTTATTTCTATATTATTCAAAAAAAAAAAAAAAAAAAAAAAAAAAAAAAAAAAAAAACTGAACCTGATAGAAGATATTCTATCTCTATCAGAATTTAACTCAATAAAAATTCAAAAATCCCGATTTAATCAAGTGTGATGGAACCTTTTTCTCCATTATCAACGCAAATAAGCTTAGGAGAACACCCACAAATTCAATGACAATCATATAATATGCCATCTTTCCACTTTCCTTACGAGAGAAAGGAATAATGATTCAAAAATAAAATTCAGAAATAACAAGATAAAACAAACAAGATGGAATTATTATAACTAATTGTTTAGCTAATGCTTTGGACGTGATGCAAATAAATAAATAAATAAAGAACTTCAATGGACAGCACAAAAAATCAAAATTTTAAAAAAGGACCTCTCAGCAGCTTCCCTAGTACAGCCAGGGGTGTAAACGAACCGAACACGAACGAACAAAGCTTGTGTTCGTGTTCGGTTCGTTTAAAATTTAGTTTGTTTGAAATAAGCTCGTGTTCGTTTCTAAATAATATTATATATTAATTATATAACTTATATTATATAAATATTCAATATCTATATTAGTATATTACTACTATAGTATATTAATATATTATTATTATTATTTTATTATATATTATAATTTATAAAATTTAATGTTTTAAAATATAATAAATTTTTTATATATAATTATTTTATATTATTTTGTATTTCAAATAATAACGATTCGAACACGAACGAACGCATCACTGTTCGTGTTTGGTTCGTTTAACTAACCGAACGAAAAAAATTTGTTTGCGTTTGTCTCGTTTACTTATCGAACGAATCGAACACGAACTCATTGACGAACCGAACACGAACTGTTCGCGAACAACGAGCTTTTTTGACAGCCCTAAGTACAGGAGTGCGGATGACTGAGGTTGATCAGAAGTCAGTGAAGAAAGAAAAGCGGCATTTACATACATACCGCCCAATTCTTATATATTTGCATATCTAACACTTAACCTTTACTTTTTTACATTTATACCGCCCGAATCTTTCATATCACATCAAAATACCATCATTTTTAAAATTTTAAAAACTGAAATACATCCTTCCATGCATAGGTTAGGTACCAAGTATGTAAAAATTCGAACCATAGGTTTGAGATACGTAAATACATAGGAATTTAGTGGTATATATGTAAATCTTCAGTTATATTATATGGTAAAGCCATAGCCATCGTACCCATTCTTTTGTAAAGGAAGTTCATCTACAGACTCCATCTTCCAGGATAGTGTGTCAATTTCTTTGTCACTCTTGTCAAATACTTCATCCTTCAAATATATAGCCTGAATTTGACAATAAATTAAAAAAAACAATTTCCAAAGATGAATGACAAAATATCCACAAATATTGCATAGTCCCGATATTTACTACCATTTAGAATTGAAACATAACAGAGTTTCAGTCTATACTAGTACTATAATATTGGATTGTGGGGGAAGTTCGGAATCGGAAATTGATAGAAAAGCAAGGATATGGGCCCGTGTAAGTAGAAAACAAAAAATATATATTCTAGTTCTATCATTATCTATGGGTTCGAATATAAGAGAAATTTTAGATACATAAAATATTAAAAGATCAACAAATTTAACAGAATCTACATCAAATTAATCACATAGCACTCATTAAGAATATATCGAATATATCACCATTGTTCTCAAAATGAAATGTCCTGAAATGTACAAGTCAGAAAAAATCAATAAAAATAAAAAATTTAATTAATAATCAAAATCTAAAAGCATCTACCAGGCAAACTATTAAGTTTTTTTTATAGCACACTGACATGAGATCCCTATTGAGAAAACATGAAAATTAATGGTGTCAATTAGTACAGTACATGAATCCAATCCAAATCATGTGTTGAGTCAACGTAATTAGCTCTCAAGGCATGTTCTAGCAATACAGTTGTTAAACCGAAAGGGAACATTTAAATATATACCCCCCAATTCCTATGTATTTACATTGTTAGTTGAGCTTTAGTTATAAACAAACATCAAGAATTACATATCATAAATGTATCATATCAGCTTAATTTCATGACTCATCCATTTATTACAATCAAATCTTGCATATAGTACAATTTTTTTTTAATTTGTTCAGCGTGAAAATAAAATAGAATAAGAAATTTTAATTTTATTCAGTTTTTTGATCTGTTGGTTTAAATGAAAATTAAAATTGAATCAATAATCAAAACTGAACAATGAGATTTTAAAAATAAAAAACAAAATTTATTTTTAAAATCGAACCAAATCAACCAAACGGGTTCGATTTGGTTCAATTTTTTTATTTTGAGTAAATAATGCACACCACTAAAAATTTGTATGCAGTTTAATACTATTTTGAATATTTCTAACATCTGAAACAAAGCTGAGACAGTCCATTGACATCTGAACTAATATTGGAAGCATTAAATGCATCACCAGCTTATTCAACACGAAATTATCCGAGCCACCCAGCGAGTCTAGATATTGAAAAGATTCATCCTTTACATTGATAACAGCCAAACACCAATGAATTTCCTTGTGTATAGGAACAAAAATCTGAAAAAAATTAAAAAAGGTGCTGAGACATAATAAAGTAAGCATTCAAAACTTAATCCTTAAAATAAAAATTAAAAGGAAGATTTACATGTATGCCACCCAATTCTTATGTATTCACATATCTAACACCCAAACTTTGATTTGTACACACATACAACCTTACCTGTGCATAAAAAGGTGTATATCAGTTTTAAAAGTTAAAATGCTGATATTCTTTATTTGATATGAGAAATTCTGGTGGTATGAATATAAAAGGCAAAGTTTGTGTTAGATACTTAAATACATAAGAATTTGGCGGTATGTATGTAAATGACCCAAATTAAAATTCATGAGCGAGTTAATTTTACTTTCTCGCACTCAATAAGAGCATAACCCAGCTTCCTTTGGGTGGTCCATCTTTTCACAGACTTGAAATCATAGCCATCCTTCCCACTGGTCAGCTAAACAGCAATAAATAGTTATTAGGAAAAAAATAAAACTCAAGCAACCAACTCTTTATTAAAAATAACAGGTAAAGAACACTATAAGTTTTCACCCACTCCCATCAAAAAAATTGAATAGCAATCCAGTATAACAGCAAAATAAAACATACAAGAAAAACAAAGTTTAAATCATCATGATCATCACTGGCCAGCCATATGAATTCACAGTTTTCATCATGACATGTTAAACCTATTTCATACACATATATCCACACAATTTCTGATTTAACATATTGTTGGGTGCTGCGGGTCTTGTATGTAAAGAAAAGAAATATAAAAATAGTGATACAACATGACTCAAACAAAACAGAAATACAATAATAGACGTATCCCTAACTAGAGCTATAGGAAGAGATTCGAAGGCGGTAGCGGCGTCGGCCTACATAGATATATCTACATCAGAAAAGTACAAAATCGCAATAAAGAAAAGATGGACTAACCCTTTTATAGAAAAAAGTGTTAAAGAAATGACATTTCAAAAACTTTTCAGGCTCCCTTTTCTCCCTCTCCTTCAATAGCTCAAGGTATAGGTTAATGACCTGCCAAAATAAACTAATGAAGCATCAAAGTATGAATTCATCCCTTTCTAGCAATATTACCACATATAAATTAAAAATTTGTAATTCCATAAACAAAAAATAATCACCTCATCATTCAACCAAGCACCTGGTCTCAAGCATTGCAGGACATCTCTTGTAATCTGAAGGTTAGAGGGTTCATGTACTACTAAAACTTTACGTCTGCAATGATAACACGAGCATAGTTAACAAAACATTTCATAACTGTGAGTATAAGCAGAAGCATTAATTCAGGCTTGTTTGTATTTTTTTTTTTTCTGGCTTTATTTTTACAAACATTTTTCTTTTTTTGTTTCTAAAGATAAATCAATATTTTTTTAAAACACTTAAAATAACTATTAGGTGTTTTTTTTATGTTTTTATAAACAGTTATTACTTCAATCAACTAGAAAAACAATTTTTGTTTTGAATTAAAACATAAACAAAACAACATGAAAAAAAAATTAAAAACAAAAATGATCCCAAATGGCCCCTTCATAAATCACAAAGATTATGGCAGCAAGACCTGTTGCCGCTAAGCAAGGCACGAGAGATGTCTTCCTCTTCCTCTGTTGTGAGATGGCGAAAAGGTTCATCGACTTCCTGAAAAAGGTTATCATTAAAGCAGATATTAATGCCAATAGCTGGGCATATATGACTACTAATAACCATAAGAGAAACTTTAGTAGGCCCATTTGTAAAATGTTAGATAGTTTTCTATAAAAATATTCAACAAAGTGAAATAAAATTATGGTGTGCATATTAAGTTCCTCAATATTGTTGAGTGAGTACACAAAAAGCACGCTATTGTAACACAAAAGTGTCTATCAATATTTTACGGCAGCCATGTTTGTGATGTGCCCGCAAACCAATGTCAATATTGTTGTGAGATATGTACTTCCTAACATAGAAATGAAACGCAAAGAACATAAGCAAACACAGATCGTTTACGTGGGAATCAATTAAATAGTTCACTAAGGCAAAAGAAATGGAGAATGCATAACTTATACATAGAGATGAGCACTCATCTTTCTTCTATGGCCTCCTTCTCAAGCTCATCTTCCTTCTATGGCCTCCCTCTCAAGCGACACCTTGATACAAGGCCTCAAGGTGCTCTCCTCCTCTCTAGCTCTCTAGTTATTCTCTCCTTCTTTGTGGTAGCTTAAGATCTTTTCCCTTGCTCTCTAAGCTTCACACCCTCTCTATTTATACAAACCTAGAGAGTAGTAGGGGGGAGGTAGGTGAGCGGTAGGTGAGATGTGGTAGGTAAGCGGTACCACATTACAAAAGTGTCATTTACAAAAGTGTTACAAAAGTGTCATTTTACCTTAGTTCAATAATTAGGGGTCAAAATAACAATTCTCTACCTTAGCCCTCAATTGAGAAGCTTCGAAGTAAAGATTCTCTCCACCTTGACCCTCAAAAGTGCGACGTAGATCCAGTTGGATCAAACCGCATAAACGATCTGTGTTTGTTTGTGTTCTTTGTGTTTCATTTCTATGTCAGGAAGTACATATCTCACAACAAATATCATAAATACTTCTTTGTTTGGTTTAAGTACAGCCTCATTCTCGATTTCAACATCTCTGTTTCATCCAAACTTTCATAGATGAAACAAATAATTTATAATAATAATAAATTTGATGGCACCACATGAGCGATATAATCAACCAACTCGCATATCGACCATCTATGAAACTAAATTTCGGGGTGAGATCGATGAGCTCTAGCAATCAAAAGCTAATCCCAATCAAGGTTGCACTTCCAAACCACCAAGTGAATATGATGAAGCAAGCAAAGCCAATGGTTAGAACATTCAATGCACTTTCTATCTACTTCAATGGTTATAGGAATTTAACTGGCTTTTTTTATACTAATTAAAAAAAGACAATTTTTGCTTAATCTTATCTAAATAATATGACATTTTTAAAAGTGGTTCCTCCTCTTTTTTTTAGCTCCTGCTGGTGAGAGAGATCCCAATTTTAAGTAACCTCTTGTGTTTTGTCTGAGCACAAAAGCCAATGAAGAATACATGAAAATGTAACCAAAATTTGCACCGGATACAGGTAAAACTTCCAAATTACACAAACTGATCATAATGAGTTTATCTAATTTTGCTTGCTAGCATAATTGTAAAGCTTAAAGATGTATATAGTGACATGTCAGCCTGCTAAAGTAAAAGAAAAAAAAGGCTTTTTGAAATAATAGATTAAAGAAATACTAAAATATCAGTTCAAACAAAACATAATTGACCTGATTATAACTGCTAAGATAATAGATAAGACTTACAAATGTATAAAATGTCTGCTAACGAGAAAAGGAAATAATTAGACATCCCAACGTATAGATCAATATAACACTTAAAAGACTATAACTGCTATATTGATTCACTAAATAACAAGAAAAAAAAAATTATGTTAGGAACAAAAATTTAGTTTTACAAGAAACTAAATACTAACAGAATTTACGACTCCGTATAAACACAAGAGAAACTGCTTTCGCACATCATTGTCAACCATCTTCCTCATAAATGACAGACTACTTGTATTAATAATAGGGGCATTTACATACATAGCATCCAATCATATATACTTACATATCCAACACCTAAACTTTGCTTTATACATTTACAACGTTATACCACCCAAATCTTTCATATCACAACAAAAATACCACTACTTTAACTTCTAAAAAGTGAAATACACCTTTTCATGCATAGCAAAGGTGGTATATAAGGGAAAATTGAAGCTTAAATGTAGGGTATGTAAATACATAGGAATTGAGTGGCATGTATGTAAACCTTCCTTGATAATATAAACATGAGATTAGCCTCAGTACTTAACAAAGTAGCCTCATTTTAATCCATTGGCATTGTAGAAAATCAAAGAAAAATTAAAAAATAAAAATAAAGAAAATAGTTTACAATAATTGGCCAGTTGCCAGATATGGCAGACTCAAATTTTTTGAAGCCAGAGTTTGACTAGAAGCAGAAATGAAAGAATATAAAAGTTCATACTACTTTTACTGACAAAATAACTTAAAAATAATCCAAGCATATAGCATATAGTTTTTAAAGCTCTAAGAACATCATTGGGATGAAATGAGAACAAATGGATGTTAAGCAGTAAAAATTATACTAAAAATTTTAACTTCAAAGTGTTGCAATACTTTATTATTATGCAAAAATTAAGTCAGCATTGTACTGCTTTGTGCCTGCCACAAGCTAAGCACGCAGAAACATATAATTAGTTTGAAACAAGCATGATCTTAAAACTCATCTGAAAACTATATTAAACTGATAATTTTAATAAAGAGTTGGCCAAAAAAGAAAGAAAATGCTTATTTTTCCCAGAAAAAACTAATTCAAATAAGTTCTAGTTAGTATAATAATCAACCAAAATGAGCTGAGCATTTGGATGACAACTAAAAATGAGATGAGCAAGCCTGATAACTAACACAAACCCAGTTCTATAAAAAAATAACACAATTTCTTCTTTAATTTTGTCAAAAACGTATCCATTATGAAGTGGAGCACAAAGAGTTTGATAAGGCTATGGCGACAGCAATGTTCTCTAATACTTATCAAAAGAAATACTCCTGTTGCCTCCAAAATCTAAGAAAGATGTTTATGTTTATGTAAACAGAGGCTAAACTTTAAGAAATTTAAACCATTTACAGCGTTGCAATTCACTGTTACATTCATAAAAGGAACCTAGGAAGCCTGAGATCATCATAGAACAGATACTAACAAATTATATTTTAAAGAAGTTTTGTCGTTTGTTTAAGATTTATATTGGTCGGAGAAAGAACAGATGATAAAGCAGTTACCAATTTTGGTTTCTTCTCCTTCTGCAGCAGTTCCCACACACTACGATAGCCAGTAGCCTTCCGATGCAGCACTTCAGCCTCGAAAATCAAGTTATTTAACGTGATATCACGCTCCTTTGCCTTCTGATACAATTCCTTGTACAGAGGTTCGCTTTTCGCCCATAACCTCTCCAACCCCGTCTGCACCAACTCTAACGCCGCATTTCCTCCATCATCCAGCTTGTCACTTACAATATCAGAACCATCCAATATCTCCTCTTCATTCCTTGCTGACAAATCCAGAGACTTCCGCTGAACCGAGCTCACCCTAACAACCTCATCGCTAGGAGAGCCAACGCGCTCCTCCACCATCTTTTTGTACTCATCCAGATCAATTCTCTCATCCTGCTTCTTTCGACTAAACAGTGAAAATAAATTCCCCATCCCAACAGTTCTCGATGACCTGCGTCTCGCGGACGATGATCCGAGCCCGAAGGCGTGTATAATGTGCTGTGGGGCGTGTACCTCGCGGCGAAAGGGAAAAGACTTGGGGGCGTTGGGTGACATAGAGGAAAAAGAAGGCGGAACAAGGCGGGGTTTCTTGGGGGAAGCAGAGGATAGAGGAAGGCAGAGGTCAGTGGCGCTGCGCTTAGGCTGATCGGTGAGCGCACCCATATTCGCTTCCAGATCCGCGGCAGCTTTGCATGGATGGGGTTATGGGGGCATGGAGGAGCACTAAATCCCCTAGAGTAATCAAGCTTTCGAGTTCATTGGAATCGAGCGAGCGGGATAAAACTAGGGTTTGGGATTTGGGGCAGAAGGAAGATGGATTCGGCAGCGCGCGCGCGGGAGGCTAGCGTGGCGAGGGTTCATTTTAAAGACTTGTTAGTGGAGCGATTATCCGCACGTAAATTTGCATCCGTGTCTAATCTGACCACTAAAATACATATATTTTTTTATTATTATTAGAGTGAGGCCACTCTAATTTTCCTGATGGTACAACACACACAAAATTTACCGAACTTAATCTTTTGCGTGTTACGAAACTAACTAATAATCTCCCAATAATATTGTCGAACTTAGGCCCCGTTTGGGCTGGTTGTTTTAGTGCATTGTGGTTGTGGACCGCAATATTTACTTACAATTTTTACAATATATGTATGCACCTAAAATGATTATGAGCTGTCAAACTGTCGAGTAGTCGGGCTGTTGAACTGTCAAGTTGTTAAGGTGTTATGCTCCTCTATCAAGCTCACTTGATGAGCTGCGAAGCTGCCAAGTTCTAAGATTCGCCTACCAAGTTATGGAGTTCGGCTACAATGAGCGATATAACATGAAACTACGTGATGTGATATAAAACCACGTGATATAACATAAAATTATATAATGTGACATAACATCATAGCCTTTTTGTATTTGTATTTTGTATGGTGATGAAAAAACACCCAAGACTTTAGGAGGGGGGTCTCTTGTTTCCCATGGGTTGCTCGTGCTCTGACTCTCTCTCTACTTCTCTTCAACTCAGTGCTAACAGGATTTGGTCATAACCCATGGGCATTAGGGGACTCAACGTCTTAAAATGATTCAACATTTTAACTATTGCACTAAACGTGATCACGTGACTTAGAATTGAAGTTACTCGTAGAACCCTTAAATATATAACAAATAACATGTTATATAAATTTTCACTATATGGTATAAGATATTTAACTTTAAATTTATTCATTCTTACATCCTTTAAATTCTTCTATGTCTAAATTTTTCTATATAATTTTTCAGCAGTGTATTATATTTTCTTAAATATTGATTTTCAATAAATTGAAGACTTTGCCCCTGTGTGATAATACTTAACTAACTGTCCCTATGAGACCGTCAAGTCAACTATAAAATCTTTGAGGGTGAGTTATAATACCTTCGAGGTGAAATCCTATAAGAGTTGACAATGTGTCATTAGAATGGTTCCTTGTAGAAAATTTAAGAGCACCTATATAGACGAATAATCAGTACTTTGTGAAATATACGACTCATTTTTTATCATACTAGTTCTAATTCGTATCAATGATTTCATTTTTTTTAGATAAATGCATTACATGTTTACATTGCAGAGATAATTAATGCTCAACTTGCTATTTTTTGTTCATGATTCTTTTTATTTTATATTGATGGTTAAAAATAACGAAATTGGGGAATTAAATGTACACGAAAAATGACATGTCGAGCGGGCTCACATATAATATTGACGAGTTGTCATGCCATTAGATACGTAGTCTCCGCATGTAATCCATTCTCCCATTGTGGCTCAATTATATAGGGGTGAAAATGTCCCGAGCACGAGCTAGCTTGGGCTTAGTTCGTGTTAACACGAACTAAGTTGAGAGCTAGCTCGTGCTCGGGTCATTTCCAACCCTATATAATTGAGCCACAATGGGAGAATGGATTACATGCGGAGACTACGTATCTAATGGCATGACAACTCGTCAATATTATATGTGAGCCCGCTCGACATGTCATTTTTCGTGTACATTTAATTCCCCAATTTCGTTATTTTTAACCATCAATATAAAATAAAAAGAATCATGAACAAAAAATAGCAAGTTGAGCATTAATTATCTCTGCAATGTAAACATGTAATGCATTTATCTAAAAAAAATGAAATCATTTAAATAAATCATATTATATATACATACACACACATATATGTGTGTGTCTATATATTACATACATATAAACGGACATACGGACATACGAACATACATATATAAAATCATATTATATATACATACACACACATATATGTGTGTCTATATATTACATACATACATACATACATACAGACATACGGACATACATACATACATACAGACATACATACATACATACATACATACATGCATATAT